CTGTAATTCCAGGTGATTTCACTTCAAGACGTTCTTTATTTATCAAACTCTTCTTTATTCAGTCGGTTTTATGACATCATTGGCTACTCTTCAGTATGTATATATAAATTGTAATTCCAGGTGATTTCACTTCAAGACGTTCTTTATTTATCAAACTCTTCTTTATTCAGTAGGCTACTCTTCGGTATAAAAACGGTAAAAACTAGAAAACAACTAAGCAATTTTTTGAGAAGTAATAGATCTACGTTTAAAATTGATATCATATATACAAATTTTATTTTTCGTTGAGATGAAATCAATTTTTGAACCACCAGAGGGAATTCATTCGTAATTAGATCTGATTTGTAAGTAAACCTTCTTATAAGAAGGTAAATTATAATATGTCCAAAGGAGAGAGAAAAGATTTGAATAAATTGAAAACAGATGATAGAATTATCAAAAAAAATGATGAAGACAGTATTCTAGTTACTATGGAAACTAGTTATTACAGAAATGTGGTGTTAGAGCACCCTTATAATAGTAATCATTACTAGAAAATGTCTAACAGGAATGGAAACTTTTATATAAAGAAAATATAAACAAAATTGATAAAATATGTATTGAGATGTGGGAAGTTTTTGTTTTTTTTTAACTGAAAAAGAAACGAAATTTATTTTAAATCCAAATAAATTGGCAAAATTTCACGTATTGCAAAAATTGCATGAAAGTAGAATACTGAAAGAATAGTTAGGGAGAGAGAAAAAAAGGCAGAAAATATTTGTTTAGCACATTTTTTAGCTATGTCAAATCATTCTATTAGGTTGGATAATTTATTAGATATTGTTTTGAAACCTTGTGAGTCTGATGTGGATGTTATATCAAAGACAATAAAGATTTTTTGTAAATCAGCTACCTAAAAAAAAAAAGTAGAACCAAATAATAGTTTAGTGTCATTTGATGTTGCCTTGTATCCAAGTATTTCACATGCTTTTGGACTAAAAACAATTGAATTTTATTTTGATAATTATATTGACAGTATCAGCAAAGGTTTTAATAGAGAGGTTATTTTAAAAGGTCTAGATTTAACTTTAGCTCTTGTGTTTGAAGAGGAAATCTGTCACAAAAGCTCGGGACTGCTATGGGCATTAAAGCTGCACCAACCTATGCAACGCTAATAATGAGTTTTCTGGAAAGTAAAATATTTAATCTTCTTCCAAACTATTTTTGGAATAGTAATTTTATTCTTTTACCAACGAACAATGGGATTGACCATCACATTATAACACCTCTACGGCTGGTGAGACGGAGATTCGAACTCGCAACCCTCAGATTTGCTAGTCGAGCTCCCTACCACCTGGTTGTAGATCAATAGGAAAAAAGAAGAATAAAATATAAAGATAATAATGAAAATGTTATATCGCTAGTTAAAATTCATTGTCCAGAGATATCGATTAATATCAACTTTATTCTATAACAAAATGACCCAATTGTAGATAAGGAATTAAAGAATGTTCTCGAAAACTGTAAAATAGTTTGGGTGGAACAGCAACCTCGAAATTTATATAGATTGCTAAATTTAAAAACAATTATAAAGTAAAGAATGAAAATCGTATTGTACCATGTAATAAAAAATAGGTTTAATGTGTACAAATAGGTAACTTAACTAAAAAAATTAACTGTTGGACCCAAACTGCAGGAATTATTTAAGGTGAAAAGTTATTTGGATTGTAGTGCGAAAAATGTAATCTATGTTTTAAAATGTTCTACTTGTGGAGAATTGTATGTTGGAGAAACTAATAATTTATGATACCTGTTTGTTAGAAATCCGTAAAATTGGCCCTTCCCAGTATATAGACATGCCTATTTCTGTAATACTTTTTTTTTTAGCGGATTGAATGAACTTTTTTCAAAGTTTTACCTTTTGGAATTATAATGAAAAAGAAAGAAGATTACTATTTGAAAGATAACTTATTAACCGTTTTAATACTTCTTTAAAGTTTAATTGAAAGCCGTTAGGAGGCGAGATGTTTAATATATAGCCTTTTATCATTAAGCTCATAGCTACAAAATGGGCTTTCTTTGCCCTCCACGGGTATCGAAACCGGATGTTTAGCGTTATAAGGACACTGACTTCCGCTGAGCCAGGGAAGGTAATATATAGGGTTTCAAAGGTTTAGTCCCGTATCTTAGATGTACTTTAAGTATACTGTAAATAACTTCCAAAGAAACTTTAAGGTTATAAAAAAAATCTGTAGTTTGTAGGATTTGGATAATTTATTATAGTATTTAACGTTAAAAATAACTTAATGTTAATTTAAAGACTTTTTAATTAGATTTTGATTTGAAACGTTAATAATACGATAACTCTTTTGTAATCTGGGTTATTACAAAAATCATAAAAAAATTGAAAAATTATAAACTAAAAAAAAATTAATTGGAAAATAAGATTTGTATATTTCATATCAGTTTTAAAGCTAAGTTTAATCATTTTGAAAAGGTGATTAGTTGTTTTTTGGTTTTCATATTGAAGAATGGCTAGTGATGCTACAAAACCGGTTAAATAAAGAAGAATTTGATAAAGTTTGAAAAAGAAAGGATTCGAATTATCTTATATATATACATATGACCAAACACACACACACACAAAATAGAGTAAACATATCTTTATTTATTGGAAATAACATAAGGATCTATAGGAGTTCGTGTAACACATATATATATATGAATAATATTTGGATTTTCTTGATGTTTTCTAGAATTACATTAGAATTTAATTATGAATACATTTGAATGAGAAACATAATATTTTTACCAAAACAATAAATAATACACGTAATTTAGTTTTCAGTTTATGAACATCGAAAACACCTTTCAGCACACTTACTTGTAATTTAAAATAAAATGTTTTCCAAAGGAACACCACTTTTATAGTAACCAGTTGAATTTATTTCATACTAAAGAGCATTACTAGTCAAACTACACAAACATTATTTCTGGATATCACTGATTAGAATTTAAAAAAAAACGAGTACCAATCTGTACGTATAATATTTTTTTAAAAAATCACTGCTCCAACATACGACCCAGATAACTTTTGTTTAACTCTCCCCTAGTGTAGCTTGTGTTTTCTAATTTTAACAAGTGAAGCTAAGCAAAGAATTTGAGCTTGCTTCTCTTTCATTATAGAAGTTACAGTTTCAATCCCACATGCACGGGAAGCTTACTTCCCTAGCTACGATTTTCATCCTACTTAAACATCTTGCTTCTTGGGAATACCAATTAAAGTTAAAACAGACGAAAAAATCTTTAAAAACTACTAGATTCATATGATAAAACACAAAGAAGTAGTGACATTGTTTATATCACGAAACAGATACACACGTGCTGTATTCTAATATATATTTTATAGGTATTGAGGTTCTTGAAAGGCACAGTACAGACTTAAAAACAACCAAAAATGTTTCATTAATAACGATAATAATAATAATGCTGAAACGATTACATTTTAACTAAACAATTAAAAGATCCCCGTTCATTATCAGAAAACTTTTTATCGAAAGAGGTAAAGCCAACCTAAGATGGTGTCTGAATTATTTGGCTTTACAGACGTTAACTTGTTAAAATGTGTCATAGGCCAATGTCATTTAAATAACAACGTGGAACGAGAAATTTCAATGAATTAAAAACTGGTAAATTAACTCTTCGTCATCTTCTTATCTCTGCGTTTATTAGAACTCACTATTCTATCTTTAAGAAATACTTTTGTTCTGTTCTTTCATTTTTCAAAGCACACTCGTCGCTAATGAAAGTGTCATTTGACAGAACAGTAAAGTGTAATTAAGTTTTCGAATCTTTCTTTTCTGCTTCGGGATCAGGCTGGCCCATGTCGATTGTAGCGAACCTAACTGGATACACCAATTGATTTCCCCTGTCCCACGTGTAGATGACTTCATCCCTCGCATTGTAACTGGCCATCGCGGTTCTGACGAAAGGATTAGTAAAATCCAGGTTGACGTCGATGGCTTTGTTCTGGTACAGGTCGAAGGCGTAAGAAATCCGCGTATTCAGTTCATTAACACTATCAATTGTATACAGAACTCCACAGATAATAAACATCTCACCAATTCCACGATGTTTCAGTGTGATGTTCCACATCTTTTCTGTCTGAAGTGAATACGGATGAAACTTAAGTACCAGTGTGTTATTAGTGTTGTTGCCGGCAAAAATTACCCACAATCCATTTTCATCAGCAGCTAAATCCATGTAACTGTGCCGTGTGGTGTAAAGATATTGGTCATCTTTGTAGGCCGCGTCGACAATCTGGGCGCTTGTATTACTTTCAGTTTGTAAATCAAACCTGATCAGATTGTTCGTGCCTTCTTGGTTGTAATAGAAAGAACCGTTATAAACTACGTGATTGTTACCTACAAATTCAAAGGGTAGAGTGTATTTTTTCGTATAGTTGTTGTTCCGGAATGAAGTTTTATCTGCGAACTCATAAAGCGTGTTTTTCTCGGTTTGCAACGTCACCCAGTGCTTGCTCTCGTCAATGGGATTGGTTGCAGCAGGGTCTTTCATCCAGCAGCCCTGAGATACGTTAGAAAATTGCTGGAAAACTGGCTTCCCGACTTGATTCAGTAGGCAATCTGGACATTAAAAAAAATCAAACTTAAATTAACTTTGAAATAATCGAACGCAAAAAATACACTTAAGTTAATAACTGGATGTATTTACGGACTAACAAATAGTTCATTCTAATGTCTGACAATAAACTATATTTTTTTAATGTGCACATAAACTAATGGTAAATAAAATGCCCGACAATAAACTATTTTTTAACGTGCACATAAACTAATGGTAAATAAAATGCCCGACAATAAACCATTTTTTAATGTGCACATAAACTAATGGTTAATAAAATGCTTTGAGAGGTTTTCAAATATTATTTATTTTCATTAACACAAGCACAAGTTTTACATCATATTTGTTTTCCAAAATTGGTTTCTTATGCTGCGTTGCTAAATTTAGTAAATAATCGCAAAGTTGATTTTTATTGAACTTATGCATACGGAATCGTATCGAACATTAAACAGAACCCCGATATAACTACGATACCTACACTATCAGTTTTAAACTTGAACCCTGAAATTGTGGGGGAAAGATGCTATATACAATAACATCACGTCGAAGGGCTTGTTTGTTGTTAAGCGGAATGTTTCACAATAGGCTACCTTTGCAAGGATCAAACCCTAAATATGAGTGTAATATAGTCTCAAGCTTACCGCTTGGCCACCGGGGGAGGGAGCACGCTAAACGGTACGAGTAAGTCTGTAAGTTAATCTGTCAGTCCTTAGTCTTGCGTGCCCGGCATGGCCAGGTGGTTAAGACACTCGACTCGCAATTTGAGGGTCGCGGGTTCAAATCCCCGTCACACTAAACATGCTCGCCCTTTCAGCCGTGGGGGCGTTATAACGTGACGGACAATCGCACTATTCGTTGGTAAAAGAGTAGCCCAAAAGTTGGAGGTGGGTGGCGATGACTAGCTGCCTTCCCTCTAGTCTTGCACTGCTAAATTAGGGGCGGCTAGCGTAGATAGCCCTCGTGTATCTTTGCGCGAAATTCAAAACAAACAAACGAACGTTAGCCTTGCAGCAGTGTAGTAATCTTTCGTGATCTTAAGATAAGTTTGTACCATATAACACATGTATATTGATAAGAAAAAATCCGAAGTTTGAGAGTTGTTGGTAAGATTTTAATTCAAACTAATTACCATATATTTAAATTTGATTCATTACAATAGTTATTACGTTTTGATTTTTTTAATCTAAGAGAGAATTAAGACTTTATAGATGATTTTCACAAAAAACAAATAAAGATAAAACATTGATAAGGAATACGTATTTAATTGGAACATCAAGTCACAAGTAGGTAACGCAAAGTGCAACAATTAAAGTGTAACGTTTAGCGTATGTAATGTACATATATCATAACTAAACCTATAAGCACGACCTAAGGTAAGTTAAAACTCGAAGGTTACGTGATTAATACCTTTGCTCAGTTTTCTTCTAAAACTCTGTACATCTTGCTAAACTTCCGTTCTTACGTCTCGTTTTAGCGCAAAGCTGTACAATGAATTATTTGTTCTGTGTCTTACGCAGGAATCGAGTTCCGAATTCTTGTGTTTTAAAGTCTCAAGCATACCCCTGAACCACTGGGTGACTATTTTCAAGTGCCACAATTCAGATAAAAACTCGTCAAAAGCTGTGGATATTGCTCGTATCTCTCTCTCTCTCTCTTGTTGTGTTGTTGTTGTTGTTGTCCTTTTCGGTTGGGAATACACCCGTCGTTCGAGATTAAAGCGCGTGGGTCGTTATCTTCATGTTAATCGTGACTAGCGCTCAGGATTCTAATACGTTTCAACAGCCTGATTTATCCAGTACCACTTGAGAAGCGGGTTTGAGCTTGCAAGATCTAAGCTCGGCTTAAAACATCTGTAAAAATACAGGCCTCTGAAATGTTTATACAACTGTGTACGAACCACAACACCGAGCTCGTGTAAGTTTTACTTTTGTTTATGTTATCAAGGTGTGATATAATTATTGTTTCAGCTGTTGAAGACGATAAAACTGGCACTTTGTAAAACTCGTAATTATACCTATTTTTAAAATGTTTTCGAAAGAACCGTAAAAAGTAGGGAGGAAGATAGGGCGGCTCTGTAGTTGCCGCCGACCGGAATCCACCTGGTTAGTCTCTTTAAATATTGAGACTGTCGTTGCTAAGTGATTAGCATGCCCGAACTGTGAATTTACTATTCGCGTCCCGTTATCGCAGGAACGTGGTCCGTAGTTTGAGGCTGTAAATGCACTATAAGAGTGACAGTAAAATCTCAATATTCGGGTATATAAACGTAGTCCAAGAGTTAGTGATGGGTGCTGTTGGCTAGCTGTTTTCTTTCTAGTCTAGCCACCCAGTGGCACAGCGGTATGTCTGTGGACTTACAACGCTAGAAACCGGGTTTCGATACCAGTGGTGAGAAGAGCACAGATAATCCATTGTGTACCTATGTGATTGATTACAAACAAACAAATCCTCTAGTCTACCAGATCAAAATTAGGGACGCCTATGCGCATCTAGTCCTTGTGTACTCTGCACGAAAATTCTAAAACCACTACAACTATTTATATCTAATAAAACAACTTAGGGCGAGGTTTGAAATCTAGGTCGTTGATCAAGGTTTAAATACAATATATATAACAAACCGTGTTTTCGTTATACGTGTTCTAACTTTTAAATAGATCTTTTTAGATTAAAAAGTACAGTTGAATATTATCTCTATCACAATAAAATGTGTAAGTCACTGAAGAAGAAGAAGAAAAACACACCTAAAACACGTGTTTTGTGATGACAAATGAAAAGGGCAAAATGTTTTATATTACTTTTAGTTTAGAGCCAATGATTATAACATAATATACTAAATTTATAAGCAGTTTCCATCTTCAGTAATAGGTATACTTAAAATTCACAGATGAAGTAACATTTTTCAGTAACAAATTACAACATGCCAGTATTCTTGCCTAAGTTGTCGACAAATGGACTTATGAGTTGGTACAAATATAATTATTACTTCTAATTGCACACCCAACCTACAAGTAATTTAATTATTATTAGTTTAATTTTGTTTACTGGTCACCTTTTCCAAATCCTTTGGACTAAGCCTGGTTTGAATTTCGCACAAATCCACAAGAGGGCTATCTGCGCTAGCCGTCCCTAATTTGTAGTGAAATAATAGAGGGAAGGCAGCTAGTCATCACCACTCACCGCCAACTCTTGGGCTACTCTTTTACCAACGAATAGTGGGATTAACCGTCATATTATAACGCCCCAATGGCTGAAAGAGCAAACATGTTTGGTGGAACGGGGATTCGAACGCGCGATCCGCAGATTGCGAGTTGAGCGCCTTTTAGACCAAATAAATTATATTACATAATTTATTCTCTGACTTATGCATGTTACCTTGTAATCTACGTACCTATGTGGGTTACCTTGCACTCATCTGACCTATAAACATTAATTTGCACTCTGATGACCTATGCTGGACGCTTTCCTGCATCCTTACAAGTTTCAAGTTCAACTTCAACGTCAAGTGTTTTGGTCTAAAAGTAACCACAGTATAAATATGCCCAAAATGTGATGACTAAGAACTCAACTTTGGCAGACAATGGAGTTGTAGGAAAGTCTGATATCGAAAATTTTGTGAAAGTCAAACTAATCTAAACATTATGTAAACTAACGCTTTAGTTCAGAACAAATTAACACTTCCACGGCTAACTCGCAACCTAAGGGAGCCAGATAAAATTTAAAAAAAATATATCAAATTCCCTTCGTGGTTCTGGCCTGACACGGCCTAGCGGTTAGGGCGCTCAACTCGCAATCTGCGGGTTACGGG